TGTAGGAAAAAAGTAACAGTTGGAATCGCACTTATAGTAAAAGTAATGTTCATAGCAACACGAGTGCTTTCGGGTGCAGGCGTTGTCCGGGCTTTGAAAGTTTTTCAGGCTGGGGTTGCGGTGTAGGGATAGGAATTCAGGTTTGAAACTCCCTTGGTACTGCAGCCTTACAGGCGAGCCCCAATTTTTCAGGCTGAAGTTATTCAGGTTTGAAACTCGCTTGGTGCTGCAGCCTTAAAGGCGAGCCCTAACACATAAAGATGCTACGAAAGCTCGCGCCTGTCAGCGAGCGGAGGAGGGGCGGGAGGGAAGGGAGGAGGCGGGGGGGAGGGGGGGGAGGGGGGGGGAGAAGGGGGAGGAGGTGGGGGGGAGGGGGGGGGAGGGGGGGGGTGGCACGGTAGAATGCGTACAATGTGGCTCGCGTGCACGCGCACCGGCGTGCACGCGCACCGGCTCACGCGCAATCCTCAGAGCCATGCAGCAATATGACTAGACCTCGTATTTGTAGCCGTTGGATGAAAATTAAATGATGTTTAGGTAGTTATTCCATGTTTTCGCACCATTTAGGCTAAACTCTGCAAGTGTCCGGCGCAGCACCCCGCAAACTAGTACGCTTGCTACATGCTACTTCCATCGAGATATGTCTTCTCGAGGTCCGGGTTGTAGCAGGCTCTGCGAGAAGCCATGGCTGAAGAAATGCAAGCAAATCGTAGGTGCATCGTGGTGAAGTTCCCACACATACCGCAGGTTGTTTGATCTCTGCTGCTGGAAGTCAGGTTCGCAGCTTGCAGCGGGAGATCGGCATGACACGTTGCAGGTCTAGCGGCTGCTGGCGTGGAAATTTCGCCTTCGGACGATAGCATCAAAATCAAGGGTCAGTGGTCAACTCGGACATCATCCAGCAAGGCTATTAGCGAGAATAAGCAGTCGGCCTAAGGCTGCATTGCCAGAAATCCGCCTTTGACAACAGGAACCTTTCATGCAAAGGCTTCCTCACTTGTTCATCTGTGGCTGCTGTGGCCCTTATATCTCAAGACCACGGACATGTCGGAGGCAGAAGCATGCGTTGAAGCAGCAGCATCATACATTCAGGGCAGTTGGGCCTGCAAACTGGGCCGATAACCTCAACAACAAGCTGCTTAACGGTCAACGTTGGTTGTGCCCGGCTTCCCCTCAATGATTGCACACACCGGCTGGATGCACACCTGGACTGCAATGCTAAAGGGCAGTGAAAATCGTTATCACGGAGCCTCGCCTCACCCTCATTAGCATGGTAAAACCCAAACGGGGTGAAGGGTCCCATGTAGAGAAGAGCTGGGACCCACCGGGTCCCACCGAGCCCAACTTGGGTCCCACCGTAGAGGAGAGTTCGGACCCACCGGGTCCCACCAAGTACGTATCGGGACACACGCATGGCTGGTGGTTTTGATGGCGCGATTTTGGGTCCAAAAAATGCTCCCGCTTCCGGCTTCATAGCGTGCCTCCATAGTATTATAAAAATGCAATCAGCTTTGTCTGGGGGAGAGGCAAACTCTACGACGTAGGGCCATGACGCAGCAAGCTACGTGCAAGTTTTTGGTCTAGTCGCGTCTAACAGCACGCTTGGGCGGCTGCAGGGCACTGGATTGGCAAGCAAAGCGTGCGACTTCCGGCTTCGTTTCTGGGGTCGTCTTCTGGGCAGCTTTCTTAATGCCAGCAGTAGCAAGGTCACACCGCGGGCCGAGTTTCGGAGCCACGGAAACTCCACATTTTGCGAACCACAATGTCGGCCGCAATCATTTAGACTACTTGTCGGGCTGCTTTGTGCTCCTATCCTTGGGACCAGATTTTGCTTCCTGTGTTCGAGTTCAGGTTTCAGGGTCGCTCTGCGGACCCCCAAATTGATAAGACCAATGCACAGTATTAACCTCACAAGGCCGCCCAGTGTTTCTAAGATGCTGATACGATGATGCATCGCGAAGGTTGTGCTGGCAGGTTAAGGCACACGGTCATGGAAGCAGACCCATCTAGACTCATCGAAACAGAAGAGAATCTAAAGCAAGGCATTCCTTGCGATTGACATCCAAGCCGGCTTGTCAACGGTTGCATGTTCAGTGGGTTATGTTATAACTTCCTTCGCCAAGCTTGTGAAAACGGCTACTCACCAGCAGGACTTGGCCCAGTCTTACGAAGCAGCCTTACAGGTGCACACGGAAGCAAAGCAATTGCGTTTTGAACGTTCGGTCGCAGTCTGGATCTTGATATCGTGGTTTCCAGAGCAGCCGGCTCGGGTGACCAAGATACACAGGACCAGGCACTATTTGCCTTTGCTCTAACTTCTAGGATCGCTGCAGCTGGTAGAGAATTCATTGAGCTGTACTCACTCAGTCTTTTGGGGAGACGTCGCAAAAAATCTACACTCTGATGAAATCCATCGACAGCAACATTGACTGGCTGGTCGCTTCGTCACTGCAAGCCCGTATCTGTGCGGCGGTGAAGCAGGAAGCAGAGATGTGACAGTCCGACGAACAGCGATACTACAATTAACCTGGCAATCAAGTCATTGCTATCAGTCGTCCTCCCCGCAAGATTCGTGAATGTCTTGAATGATAATCGGCGACGACGACAACAACAACAACCACTACGTCTATTACTACAACAACAACAACAACAACTACTACTACTACTACGACGACGACGACGACTGCTGATCACTACGGCTACGACTGGCACTACCACCTATTCCAGCTAGTCTCTTTGACCGTGATCCTGCTCCTCCGCCCACTCCTAATGCGCTACGTCTGCTAACTGCTTGTGGGCTTGTTTACAGCTCTTTCGGAGTTCAGCTTGGGGTTCAGGCTTCAAGGTCTTCTGCTTGAAGACAAGATTCAGAGAAGGTTCTGCAACTTAGGAACTTCGCGGCTGCTGCTGTCTCGCAGCTCAGGCTTGCTCGTGTGGTTCTTAAGGATGTTGCGTGTGTTTTCAGTGTTCGCATTTAATACGTATATTATTCTTCAGGGCCAGCCAGGATGTAATTAGCGAGGTCTGCTGGGATTTTGCGGATATAGCGAGGGCCCAAAAAACCACTTGCGTGAGAGGGGTCCCCTTCATCAGGTGATCCGGTGCTTTTCCGTGAAAACCCTGGCTCCCAAGGCCCGATGGCTGGGGTACACATAATATATGCTTATGCCGCGTGCTTAGCTGGAAACACTTTTGCTTCATCTTGCCGGTGGTCTGAGTCTGCGTCTACGATGGCGCACGTCGCTTCGCGACCCCTTGCCGCCGTATACCGGCAGTGCGCAACAACGTGAAAGCAGTGCGCTTCTTCACTCGGCACCTTCTGTCTGCAAGTAGTGGCTGCGGCTGCTTTCCGATGAGTCGTCTGATGACGCCAGCCCTCTGTAAGATGAGCTTGCGCCTCGCAGCGGTGTGCTGGTCTCGAAGCCGCTTCAGCGGAAGATGCTGGGCCTTTTCTTTGGCAAACTGCTGCCAAGCTCTTGTGCTCCACAAGTTCTGGCCCAGCCGTCGCGCCAAAACATGGCCTGGAGTCATCTGTCGGGCCGTAGGCCGATGAAGAGCAGTGTTGTGCTCCAAGAGCTTACGCAAGCGGAACACGGAGCACTTTAAAAGAAGAGACGACTGATGCATGGACTGAATTTGTCGGAACCATGAGCGCATCTCCGCGTGCAGCGCTTCGTTCGAGGTTGTTCCCGACGACAACAGGCTCAACACAGCACTGGGCTGCGTCGACCGAAATCGTAAATTGTTCAGCAACCATTCGAGTCTCTCCGCTTCGGCGGCGTAAGCCAAGTGTTGAAACACAAACTTGCCCTTTTTCTCTCCCTTCCGCTCAACCTCGTTGCGAAAGATCTTGGAAATTGCAGCCAATGCCTCCGTAAACTCGATGCGGCTTGCCCAGACCACTTTAGCTTCGGCCTGCTGCAAGATGGAGGAAGCTTTGCTCGCGGACATGCCTCCTGAGAGAATCTGATCTCGCAAGGTTCTTTCCCGCGCAGACAATGGTGTTGCGCGCTGGCCCGTGAAAAAGGCTCCCCAACGATTCGCAGTTACCGTCGAGTCGGTAGAATTGAATTTACCCAAGCATGCGCGCAAACTTGCAGAGCCCTTGGTTCTGCGGCGCCCCGTGGCGTACTCGTATTTAATGGCCAGATGAACTGGATCCAAACACAAGCATTGCAAGTTGGGCATAATCGACCGCAGAAGGGAGAACATGAGGGAGGACGGCGCATCTGTGGCCACGCACTGCACCTGAGCAAGAGCTGCCTGAGGCAAGTTGCGCAGGAACGCCTCCTGCAGGTGTTCTGCCTTCTCCGAAAGCAGCGGCCAAAACCCGACAACCGCTCCAGAGCGTCCTCGTACTGTCACCACGGTGTGGATCGCATCCGTGGCATTGATGAAAAAGGGCTCAGACTGCCTGTTTTTGCCACCAGGCCTTTTCTGGCCAAGCAGCGGCATAGTGCATTTCACTGTGCCATCAACAGAAAGGTAAGTGAGCTCGTCATGCTTCATGCACTCAAACAGGAGTTGATGATCAAGCTTCTGGCAAGCTCTGGAGCTGAAGATATCTTCCACCATAGGCCACCAAGACCTGCTGTGAACAGGTAAAAGGTTGGTTAACCTGGATCCAGCCACAGAAGCATCAAGAATCATTCGGGTCCACGCAGTGTGCACCTGCAGGAAGAACAAACAACTTTTTTCGCTAACACACTTGCCGGGATGCTCACGCTGACACATGCATGCCTTGCCCGAGTTGAACAGCATTTCCCTGAACAGCTTCTCGGCAAAGCAATGCGTGTAGTGAAGATCACCCGTTCTTCGCGCTTGCAAGGCAGCCACTTGGTCTGCTCGAGCATAGAATGGTCCTATAGCAAGACTGCGTACGTCAGACTACACCGCTGTCCGGCAAATCGCCCTTAACCTGTCCTGCGGCGGAAAAGACGACACGCACGTCTCTGTCAATGGCATTGTGCTTGTGAGAGAGAGCTGGCTTCACCTGCCTTTCAGCACCACTTCACAAGCAAAGCAAACACATGTCTGCTACGGTAATTGGTCTTGCAGATAAGCAGCTGGCGCAGGAGCTCGGCACTTTTTCGAAGGTAGTCCCGCTTCGGAAGCCCAGCTATGACATCGGTGTCGTGCAACGCCAGCACAACTTTCAACTGCTTCGTCCCAGAGCTGCAGTATTGCTTCTTGCTGGTGTGCTGCTTCTGAATATGGCGCAACACGCCTCCCGACCTTCTGAAGCATCGCCAGGGACAGAAGGGACACCTCAGTCCTCGCCTGGTTTGCTCAAAGCACTGCTTCCTTTTATCGCACATCATTTCTGTTACCTCCTGCTTCATGCTCGCAATAAGCTTGCTGTCCGCGAGTACCTGCGCATCTGAATCCAGGAATGGTCCACTATCATCTGCAGCTCGCTGCGCCTCAGACGTACTGCTAGCGACACTCTCTGGACAATCATCTTCAGACAGAATCTCGATTGCTTCGGCAGCACCAGCTTCAAGGTCCAGCAGCACCTGGAAACCCTCAGGCTCCCAGCAAGTGTGTGGCGAGATCTGTTTTTTATCATGCGTCACATTGAACAGAATGCAAGTGATGCCATCCAGTCCGTCGCGCAATGCACTGTCAAGCGATGAGGTTTGGATGGAGATGTTGTTGCTTGCGTCCAGCACCGTGATCTCCAGGCTCGAGTCATCGGGCACACAGAGTCCCACACAGTGCGGGGTGCCGCCGTTTTCCATATGCAACAAGAAATTACCCGGCTGCAGCTGCATTGAGGTCGAGTCGTGCTCAGGAAGCTGAGGGATAAGGTTGACATCTAAGAGCTTTTCACACTCTCTGTACGACCGCGTCGATGGTCTCGTCGGCGCACGACTCTCGGAGCTTTGGCCTTGGGAATCAGCAACGACGGCCTGCTCCACGTCAGACGTTCGCTTTAGCAACAGACTCACTGCAGCTGGAATGCAATTGCCAGTTCCTCGCAGAACGGAATCTGGCGACAGCACAGATGCTCTTTTGGACGTTGCTTCCTCAAGAATGATCTGCAATACTGTTCGGTGAACTTTTTCCCGCACGACAACGTCAAATCCAGTTGTCTGCTTCACATGCACTTGCAACTTGTTGCAAACCTCCTCCGTTGCTTCGGATTCCGCTGGGGAAACGCGGACACCGTCATAGTGCAGGGATAAGTGCTTCGGACTCTGGCCGAGGAGATAGTCTGCTGCTGCCGACAACACGAAATCTTCCAGCGCGTGATAGAAATAAGAGAGAATTGAAGAATCGGGGTTCTTTTTCTTCGTCTCTGGTTGCTGAAATCTTGCATGCTCATCTGGAAAGCAAGATATTGCAAGCCAACGACAGTAAATAGACACTCTGGACATGTTCTCGAAGAAGCTCGCGGCGGCTCCTTCCGAGGACGGGATGCCTCCTCCGTTAAAGACTTTGATGAGCTTGCTCTTCCCATCTGCCTGGGATTCACATACACGAACTCAGACAGATCTACACACGTTGGAGCTGTCTCAAACGGCATACAGACATGGGCACATGCCGGCCTTGGAGGTCTTCAGTATCTCTCGACACACGCGATCACGTTCTTTGGCGCACTGGCGCAAAGTCTCTTTAACATAGTCTGGGGGAGGCGGACGGATAGTCAGCTTTTCAATAAGTTGGTACATCAGCGTGAAGACCGAGTTCTCCACATCAAGATCCACTGACTTCGACGCTAAGTGTACAACCGCGCGTCTGCAAAACTTTTGCACGCCGGGCCCCTTCACTGTCCTGCGCGATCGAAAAGGAACCTCCCCGGAATAGACATAAGCCCGCTGAGTGTGCAGCGTCTCCTGAACGTCTGCAACACTAATATTTTGCACAAGTGGCTTCACATCATCCGATTCTTCCTTCACCTTCAATAGCTCTTTGGATTTGACTCGCCGCCGCTTAGCGGGTTGAGACTCCTGAGTCGACGCTGGAGCAGGGTCGCCCGATAATTTGGTCAACTCTCTGAGGATTTCGTCGAAGAGCTTCTCCTGCTCAAGTAGCTTTCTCCCACGCTCCTGATACGCATCGCTTTTGTCCAAGACACCGGCATCAGTCCTTGAAGGCCGGCCGCGAAGAGACGGGCTCTTCGCCGCGCAAAAGAATCTGCCCAGCACGAAAGCATTCTCCCGGCGAGCGGGACAGCCTTGCACATACTCTACGAAGCCACGCGCCTGAAGGGTCTCTGGAAATACCATTTCCCGGTGCTTGTCATTGAACGCGACCACCGTCTGCAGATTGGAACATGCCAGCAGAGGCCTATAGACTTCGGCTGTCTTGCCCCGAGCATGTGTTTCTGCCAAGATCTTGTTGTTCACAAGCTCCTTGATTAAATTCTCTTTTGTCAAGTTCGGGCCACCTGGAACTTTGAGACGCAAGAGCATGTGTTTCGTGATATCAGGCCTGCGCAGATCCAGCACATGACTCACGATGAACTTGCGCAACAAGTCCCACTCTTTGCCTGGGTCCGTGTCGACGTCCTTGTCGTCATCATCAACTTGAATTATTGCTTGCGCGCGGTTCGAAATTTCTCTCATGTCTCGGAGAGGCAGTTTGCACGCCTCGCGCATTGTACTTTCTGTGAGCCCATGATCACCGCCCCATTGCACATAATCTTCGATCATCTGAGCACATTCCTGCGACAAGCAAGTTGGCCGCAACACTGCATTAACAAGCACAGGTGCCTTACAGCAGTGCGTCTGCAGCCCGAAGATCTGTACATCTGCAAGTCTTGTTCGTTGAACTGAAGAGTGAAGTGTGTTATGCGACTGATACCTGCAACCTGCAGTGTTGCATCGACAACCCTGACACCCACATCTGTGTCCTGCTGATTGTGTTGAGCTTCGAATGCGTGCTGCAGCTGCAAAGCAGCACATATCGCCCAAGGCGAAGTTAAGAAACATTTGAGGTCTTGATCTTTCGCGAAGATACCATCTTTGTCGATATCTTCATACGCGCCTTGGCATCTGCCCAGACAATCACGCTCTCTCAGACACACACAGACACACAGAAGCCTCCCACCCTGCTAAAAGTTGCAGTCAAGTTGCATTGTACTGCTTTTGCATCCTCAAAGCGTGCTCTGATCCTGAAGACGAATGAGCGCCTCAATATTGCGTTGAACTCCCGCTTGGTGACGTTGGCAAAAGCGAAGAAACGATTTGCTTCGAGTCTTTTCCAGCCCTTGCACTGGATCATGCGGGTGCGAAGTCCGTATGGCTTCCGGCCGGGGATGCCTGTGCAGGCATGCAGAAAGCTGGTCGCTGTTCACCACGCATTCATTATGTAAGTACAAAAGCCACAACGCTGAGCCATCTCTTCTAACTGCAGCACAAACGCCTTCCCCAGACAAGAACTTCTTGTATAAATCATCGCGGAGGCGTCGATTAGTGCCAGGAGCCTCTTGACCTTACGCTGCATCGTAGACAACAGTACCAAGCAACTAGTACTGGTCTTGCAACTTGCGAAGCATGTGTGTCCAGCCTGTGAGGATGAACTTGCCACTCAGCTGTTCGACCTGCTTCCTCATTTCATCCTCATGATACCAAATGTTGGGGTCAAAGTATGCGAAGTTGTGCCCGTACATCTCCTGCGGAAACAATGGCTACGGCAACTCGTAGAGTCGTAGAGTCTGCTATGAATGCATGCACATACTACGGCACGCCTCCAAATGAGCTGAATACAAAGACTGACCAACGCCGCCGGACGATAAACCTATGAAGATGCGCACAACGTTGAGACCTCTCTTGGCAAGCGCCTCAGCAGCTCAGTCTCATGTGCATCTATACAAGCGGCACACCGACTGGACGTGACAACGACTTCTGGCATGCCCAGCCACCTGAGCAGCTTGGCAGCATTTGAAAGCCGCCACATTGCTCCAGAACGTCTGCTTATAAAACTTAAGAAGGCGCTGCATCGCATGATCCGGAACAACGCGCTTGATACTGTGCGGAATGTGGACAAATATGTCCTTCGCATCTGCTCGCTGTACCTTAGTTTCAAAGAGCAGAGCTTGATGACCCCACCATCCTACACTTGCAGTCGGCTATCAGTTCTGACAGAAGAAGCAAACACAAGCAAATATCATTGCTATCTACTTCAGCAAAAGCACCTGCTCAGCTGGGTTTCCATCCGGGTAAATGACGCAGCAATCGTTGTAGCAGCATCCCGGCACCTGCCTCATTGGCTGCTCGCAATACTCGATCATGTAAGAGATGAATTTGTCCTCTGCCATCTCCCTGATGATGTTTCGCTTGAACGAAATGATCATCCGAGCAGAGTAAATATTCCAATGGTTGACGGGCACTTCTCCTTCTCCCTCATGGGCGGCGTCGCCTTCATGGGCTTGCGGCGCAGCGGGCGAGTGTTTGTTCTTAATCAAGCTATCTCCCGCGTTGTTCACGGCGGCGCAACGGCAACTGGCCAAGAAGTCGCGCTCGCTGTCGGCTCTCGCTAGCAACACGGCCACTGCTTGAAGAACATCGTGCTCAGAGCGGCGAGTGCCTGGTGGAAGCTGCCGAAACAATCCTGTCAGGAATACGAATCACTGCAACTAGCAAGGTGTTACAATGCAGTATACCATCAGAACAGAGTATACTCACCACAACTTCTTCACTGAATTTTCAGCCTTCCAGATGCAGAAGAAAGCAGTGAACGCGACTGCAGTCCAAGGGTGAGCCTTTGTACTGCTGAAATGCCCCGCTGTTGTGCAGAATGTAGCAATCGCCGTGGTGAAATCGCATTTGTGTTTCGCCTTCGATGATCCACAACATCATGGCATTTTCCTGCTGGAACACGTCCACTGTGCGCAGACCGAGCACGGCCACGGCAGCTGTCATGAGCTTGATCATGTACTCAGACATACCAGGGTACTCACGTGCAATTCGCGCCTTGTGTCGCGACACGAAGTTGGGAATGCTGTTCGACTCTTCCGTCACTTCGGATGCCTCATGTTGAAAAACAGCTCGGTACTGCTCCAATCCGGTAAACAACTCGCGAAAGTCAATATCTGACGTCGCTGCACCAGGCAATAGGCGTCTTCTCTTCAAGGCTGCCCAAGCACTGTCGTCCGGAGCCTCAAGCTCAACACCAGCAGCCCTTTCTTCGATTTCTTCGCTTTTGAGTTGCGCAGAGACGGCATCCTGGGCGTCTTGGACTGCAAGCTGATGCTGTATATCCTCATGCACACGAGCAGCAAAGCTGTCTTGCGAGGCCTGAGTCTGCACCTCTACAATTGGGTCACCTGTAGAGCCTCCGACTGCATCTGTCCACACATTTGCGCAAGAGTGGCAGATCTCTCGGTCACCAACCTGATCTCTATGCCATCGGCAGAACCATTCAAGACAATGAGTGCAAGGTCGAATAGCACCGGTGCCAACGGTGGAGAGCGCTTGACATCGAAAGCAGCTGACGCAAGAAGTTGATTGAACTGTGCATGGCAACGGCCGCACGGAGAAGCTAGCTTGCGCGTCTGCTGAGGAAGAAAAGAATCTAACAAAGAGTTTTGTGTGGGCACCAACACTCGCGGCCACTTCGGGACGCAAGCGCAAGATCGGGAGCAGAACACCGTTGATAGTAATCCGCAGCTCCCGCCCCACCCACTGTACAGCGAAATCATGCTCGAAATTCCTACCCTGGCAAGGGCCGCGGACCCCTGGCAAATCCAAGAACTGTTCGTTGCTTCTGCCGAAGCTAGCACGCATGTCCCTGCCGAACGGATTCTGAAGCCGAAGAAAGACCGCTCGAGGCTGGCTTGCCAACGGCCACGGCTGTGCATCATCTCTTTTCTTCACACCAACAATCATGGTACTGTCCGGGTCCATGCATCTGACAGCAAACTCTGCTGAGCCAAAAAGATTTTCCACTGATTCCCAAGCGAAACACGTGCAGTTGAAGAGCGTCGCAGGCTCCGCTGCTCGCACGGACCACGTCATCTTGAGATTTGACGGCAGCGCTGAAAGAGGCATCCGGCCAAGAAGTCTATAAGACACAATAACTTGCCTGGCGCTACTCCAGACAGGTAACAATCGGATCGCACGAGCAAAGTCGTCGTCGCTCTCGTTGGCAAATGTGTCAAGGTGTACGTGCAGATTTTGCCACGACTTCCGCTGGAGAATCACTTCTCGAAATCTACGGCAGCAAGCCTGGAGCTGATACAGCTGACCGGTGCTGGGAGAGCTGATGGCAATGTAGCTAAATAGCTCATCTGGCAGAAGAGATCCTCCCTGCAAATCTGCAGGCTGCACTTCACGAACACCGGGCAAGGTCTGTCGTTCGTGCTCAAGAAACGAGGCAACTGCCTGAGGCACCCATTCGGTCGCTCTGAAATCAACCATTGGGTGGGGCAGAGAAATCCTCTTGTGCTGCGTGTGAAGGAACATATATAGGATGTAATATTGCTCTCGCTGCAGGAGAGCAAGTGTCACACGAGCATTGCGCATTGCTCGCTCCCACTGTCGTTTGCTTGCCAGACGATAGTCGGTCGGTGTAGGACAGAGCCACTCCACGCAGGGAAATTGAAGCACGAGATCCGCATAACGCTGAAGGAGATCATGGCGCACCCTCCAGCGTTTACTCTCTGCCGGTGGAGCAGTTGCACCGCCTGGAAAATCACGTGAGTGTGCCAACATGAGTTCTGTCTCTGCTTCGAGCCTGGGCACTGAACATACCCATGGGCTTGTGCCATGCTCCGGGTGACAGCAAACAATGTACATCTCGGACACTTTCACATCGTAGTACTTCTCCAATATGTATCTGTAAGTATTCAGCTGCAGCTTGTAATGCGTCACCGTGCAGTCAGGCAGATGACTCAGAGGACCCAGCATTCTTCTGGCCGAAGTGCACTTTGATGGCAGGCCAGCGCTGCGCTTCCAGTCCACTACTATGAGCGTGCCGTCATCTTTCCTGGCGCAAAAGTCGACGGAGCCTGCTAGGCCTTCTTCCTCGCCATAGATCACCCACTCCGTGCGCCAAGCTTTAGTGGACGTGGGCATATTCGCGAGGAAATGACAAAGCATGCGGAATTCTGGAGAGCATCTTGGCACATCGTACCCGTTGAGGTATGCCTCAAACAAGTTGTGCATGTAAGTACCATAACATGCTGCTTCTTTAGCATCGGCTGCCCACTTGACCTTTATCTGCTCAGGTGACAGAACCAGGCGCGAGATCTCGTCTTCCAAGCCAAAGACTCCGGAGAGCGCCCGCAGTACGTCGCAAATGCGCGGGTCGTCTCGAGGACTGCCCGCAAGAAGCGGAAGCAGTTCAGGAGATAGAAGGTGCAGCTTAGTAACAGCATCAAAAGGGATGACCCGCTGCAGGTATCCAGGACGTGGCCAATTCTGCCCCCTCATCATGAAGCCGATAACGGCTTCAGCGTTGAAGGGCTCACAAAATTTGTGAATCAAGCCTGTCACGGAGTGCTTCATCTTTGCGCCGCCTACAAAATACTCGTGGTTTGCAGCCTCAAACCTGACACCAAGATCTCGCAGATGCGGGTGCAGAAACCGCAGCACATCCACATTCACAGCCAAAGCCGTATCATAGTCTGCTGGAGACATCGGGAATGTGAAGTCTGCCTGTTCATGAAGCAGCCGTGGTAGGAAACCCGTTTCGGGCATGATGGCCAGCCGCTGGGCCTTCCGCCTGAAGGCCTCCATCTTGGAGGCTTGCAAACGTTTCCTAGCTTTGCCTGTCATATTGTCTGCGCCACCAAGCACGTCAGGCCGAACCACATGGTCGACAGCTTGCCTGTAGCGAACAGAACCCTTACATGTTCCTATTGCCCTCTGCAAAACCACACTGCCGATGTCGATTGCAAAAACTAATAAGCAAGGTTGCGACACAAAATCAACTCCCGTTGCACCAGGCAGCAGACCCTGCGTGTCTCGGGAGTTCGGAACCCAACGCCAGCAAAGGTTGTCGTCGGCAACCCACTCTCGATTGGTGTCATGTGCTTCCTCGATGTAGGGGTCATCGCTCGGCCACCAGGAAAGCGAGTCATTGTCCGAGTCCCTTGGTTGCGATTCTTGTGTGCACTAAGAAACTGCAGCAACTGCAGTGATATAGCTACACATAGACTCGGGCTGAACAGATTCAAAACAAGTTGCTTGTAAACAGAAACACAGGAACCCGACATTGTCACCTATGTTGCCCGACTATCACCCTGATGTTGTTGCTGACCAACTCGAGATACAGCGCGGGGTCAACTCCCGCTGCACCAGGCAGCAAACCCTGCGTGTCTCGGAAGTTCAACTCGAGATACAGCGCGGGATCAACTCCCGCTGCACCAGGCAGCGACCCCTGCGTTTCTCGGGAGTTCGGAACCCAATGCCAGCAAAGGTTGTCGTCGACATTGGTGTCATGTGCTTCCTCGATGTAGGGGTCATCGCTCGGCCACCAGGAAAGCGAGTCATTGTCCGAGTCCCTTGGTTGCGATTCTTGTGTGCATTAAGAAACTGCAGCAACTGCAGTGATATAGCTACACATAGACTCGGGCTGAACAGATTCAAAACAAGTTGCTTGTAAACAGAAACACAGGAACCCGACATTGTCACCTATGTTGCCCGACTATCACCCTGATGTTGTTGCTGACCAACTCGAGATACAGCGCGGGGTCAACTCCCGCTGCGCCAGGCAGGTTATCTGAGCCCTGACTTTGCTGACAGCATCATCGGCAGCTATAGCTACAGGTAAGCCCGAGATGCACGTTGTCCTCGCCGTCACTCTCCGATGCTGCGGACACATCATCTGAGTTCCTTGGAGCTGAGGCTTGCTTGGGCCAGCTCGGAGAAACCACTGATAGCAAGAGCAGCAACAGCGCTTCACGTGAGTCAAGGTGCCAGCTGTCTTCTTCGTCGCTCTCTGACGCTGTGGCAGCATCGTTCTCGAGCGCCTGCCGATAACAGCATGCTGCCCAGAAGCTCGTTTCATTCATTGTCTGAGGACACCGCTGGATCAAGGGGCGGGCCCCAAAAGCCAGATTCATTGTCTGAGTCATGTCCACCATCCGTCCCTTGCCTGAATCAGACAACGCTACAGTAAAACAATAAAAGCGCGCTGCCCGCGGAACAGAAATGTGCCAGCGTTGGGTAACGGCAATAACACACCGAATCATTTGCAGCAATAGCAGCAGGAGCGAGAGCCATAGCAACATCAACACAAAGAAACATGTCAAGAAACTGAAGCAGAATAACAAGAACACACCGGAAAACGAAAAGGCAAACCCAAGAAGCAGTGCCAGCAGCAGCATAAACTGCTACATGCTCCAAGATACGTAGCAGTAACTGCAGCTGGGGTCTGGCCATCAAGCAAGGGCCACGCGAGTTGCTGCACGCGATGAGGATGCGGCTGCCAAACAAAATCGTCCCTGGCCAGCAACTCTGCCAGCTGCTCCGCAGAAGATACTTCCAGAGTCTTTCCTGCCATGTAATCTTGTAGGGGTAGCACACAAGTTGGACACCTTTGCGTAGGATTTCCGCGGATATGAGCGCTGCATGCCCAATTCTGGCAAAGAGTACAGACTCCCCAGCCAGGCCTACGCGCGAGCCCCTGATATCCGCACAGGCAACATCGGACAGTCGGATTGTTGGCCATTTCAGTCAGCAACGACTGCATGTGCTGAGAATGCTCCGTGTGTTCCTTGCTCCCCCAAGTGTTGCTCTCAGGGCAGACTCTCCAGTCGTGCTGACTCAAACCAGCCTCCTGACCGCACACAAGGCAAAGACAAACGGCGGTCGTTCGAACTGGGGTTTGCAGATGGTCGGGCGTCGATGTGATTTGTTGGCCATCGAGCAGCAGTTCCATGTCTTGCTCAGTCCATCTCAAGGCAAGCGAGTGCTGGGCCGCTGTATGGCAAATCGCATCTCGTCTCACATATGATGCTCTAGAAGGCTCGCTTCCTGGCTCTGGTCCCTGAAAAAAAGCCTCCATGGCGGCCCGGAACGGCCGCCTCACTTGAAACCAAGAATAGCAAAAGTTTCGCTTCAAGCTTCTAGACTGCACACCGACAAACAAAAACTTCATGCGGCGCATGCACGCGAAATTCGGGCGACAGTTGCCCAATAGCATCTGGTTTGAAGAAAGCACCGCGTGCGAACGGTTTGCGCGTACAATTCTTCCGCTCCACGAACAGCAGACCGACGGCAAAACTGCCTTGGCCTGGCCAATGCTATGGTATGGAACGGTCACTGCGCTGGCCTGGGACCACACAGACATGAAAGGAACAACACGTGTGACATCAGCGTAGCTCACGCCGGAAAGGTCGATGTTGTGGCCACGCCAGGTAGCTGGACAAAGTATGAGGAATTGCATCTGTGCGCAGCAACACCGAAGAGCATGAAGAGCATCACCGCTACCCAAGAACGGTACGCAGATAGACCATAAGTCAGTCGGCAGCGTGTGTGAGGGACGGCCCACACTGCTTGAGCTGGAGCTCGGTGGACTTTCTGGGTTTGGAATGATGGCGCAGACGCGTGGGACGTAGGCTCGACTCCAGGTAGCGGTAGCGCCACCCGCAACATCCCTCCAGTTCATTACACACGTCTCGCAGATGTGGCGATTGTTGACCTGCTGTCGGTGCTGCGGGCAGTACCACTGTAGACAGTGGTCACATGTCACAACGTGACCTGAGCCTAGCGCATGGACTTGCAGGCATCGGTAGCAGCTGACTGCAGAACTCCTGCGGAACGGAGATGGAAGTGGCTGCATGGCAAAATCGCACAGGCTAGCAGTGGCTGGGGCGAAAATACTGACAAACACCTTGGTGTGGATATCCAAGCCTTCTCGTGTTTCCGGCCGAAGCTGCAGGTGTGGCAGAGAAATGCCATCAATAACGACTTTCATCGCGCGCTCCTTCCACAGAATCTGAATATGGTGATCGGCATTTCTGTTGGGGAGAGGACCTCGGACATTTTGCAAAGGCAGGATCCCCTCATCACTTCGGCCATAGGTAACACGCATGTCATGCTCGAAAGGCCTTTGAACACGACAAAACACAGATCTAGGATGGATGGACAACGGCCATGGCTGCAGCTCATCACGCTTCTTGATGCCAAACACCAGCGTCTCGACTGGGATTTTGCTTTTGAAGACAAGATGTGACTCACCGAACAGATTCTCGAGCGACTCCCACGAAAAGCAAGCCATGTTCAACACATATCGGACGGCCTTCGGCTGCAACGTCCACGTCGTTGCAAGATTTTCCGGCAAGGCTGTCAGTGGGAGTGAAGGAACACGGCTGTGTGACACGACGATCTGCCGCGCGGCTGACCAGACTCGTCGTAGCAGCTTCATCGCTCTTGCAAACTGCAGGTCGTCGCTTTCAATGTCTGCCGTGTTCAAGTAAATTGTTAAGTGTTGCCACGAACGTCTGTCCAAGATGATTCTCCGCAGCTTTCGACAGCAGGCTTGCAGTTGGTGAAGGTGCCGTGCACACGTGGAGGCCACTGCGACTTGCTGCAGCAACTCCTCAGGCAGTGCGCCTCCCTGGCAGTCCCGAAGTCGAAGCTGCCCAGAGCTTCGGGCACCGCGCCAGGTTGACATCATCTTCTCGGTCTCAGGCTCCAAGCGTGACATCAAGCGGCCCTGTTGCAACAACGTTGGGACCAAGCCATTCACACTTGCTAACCGCTGCGCCCTTGGCTGATAAGCCTGCATCTTGGAATCGTGTAAGCGTTTTTTTTGCGACAAGTTCACAGGGGAGGGTGTGGCGGATCCTCCCAACCTATCCTGCCCAATCGTAGGAGCAGCAGCATCCGTCAACCAAGACTGATCGTTCCTCGCAGTCGCAGTCCCTGCTGCGAACCTGGCTTCCATGCAAGCAACAAGAACCTATATAGGTCTATGTAGCTACGGGGCCTTAGCGCTTTAGCGCTTCGACGTAGTACCTATAAACGAGCAAGGCAAAAGGATACCCTTATTTTAACCCGACATGGATACTTGACAGGGACGGGACACATGGCCCCAAGCCGGCCAACATCAATCACACGTCTGGGCTGTGGTTGAACAAGACCAGGATAATCAGCATCGTAGCCTGCACATTGTTCAACCTGGAGCAGAGGCGGACTCCTAAGCCCGCGCCACCAGTCACTATCGGATGAAGCATCTTCGCTGTCCTCCACGGCTACGACCACGCCATCTGCGCCGCAATCGTCTTCGCTGTTCGTGGCCGCACCGCCATGGCACGACCACGAGTCCTGCAAATCTGGTCGGCTCGGAACAAATCGCCAACAGTTGTCATGACAAACCCACTCCCCATCGATATCATCAGCGACCATGGAATGATCAACCTGGGACAGTAACAACCCATCTGCGCAGTCATCGTCGCCGTCGTACACGGCTACGGCAACGCCGTCCGCATCGCAATCATCTTCACTGTCCGTGGCAGCGCCGCCATGGCACGGCCACTTGTCCTGCAAATCTGGTCGGCTCGGAACAAATCGCCAACAGTTGTCATGACAAACCCACTCCCCATCGATATCATCAACGACCATGGAATGATCAACCTGGGACAGTAACAACCCATCTGCGGAGTCATCGTCGCTGTCGTATACGGCTGCGGCCACGCCATCTTCGCTGTCTGCGGCCGTGCCGCCATGGCACGGCCACGGGTCTTGCGAATCTATCCGGTTCGGAACGAACCGCCAACAACTGTCATGGC